ATGCATTAGTTAGGCTATGTAACAGGAGTCCTGAGTGGAGAAGAAGTGTACGAATGCCCAAGGAAGGACTGCTGACAGCCAATATTGAAATGAGACCCAAAACCTTCGAATGTTTTTTGTACAGCTGGAATAAGTTTTGTCCTAAGTGAATGATTTCTCTGCTGCCATTTATTTGTGTTCCAATGATGATCAGATAAGAAAAAAATAAAGTCATGTATAAACAAGTCTTGATACATTAAGTGGAATGGATGCCTGTAGATTCAAGAGGAAGTTAAGAGCAAAGTTTATCTTAATGATTTCAAAGTAAGGCAATAGTTATTATGTGTCTCACTTTGAAGTGCCTTGAAAGAAACCCTTTTGACAGAAAACCTTTTCATACATGCTTGTAAACTGTGAGCCTAGAGCCCTCTGGTGTTAGCATTGGTGTAATATACACTAATTTTCTACACTAGTATAGTTTAGTATGACCTGCACAGTATTCTGACCTGTGTCAATAAAGAGCTACCAATCCAATCACTTTCTTCCACCTAATTATTTATTGACTTTATTATTTATCTACGGTTTAAAAAAATTGGCGATTTATTTTTGAGGGATATAACCCATCTCATTCATCCCAGTTTTTAGGAAAGTTTACTTTGGAGCTATTACCCAGTCTGCATCAGCAAAAACTCAGAGCAAAGATAGGTCCTATGTAAAGGAAAATTTAGGAAGCATGTAAAGCTGGTCTGCTACATCCACTGCAGCTTCCTGTTTTTCATTTACTTCGTGTCTTGTTTCAGGGAGTCCCTGCAAGTCCTTCCACTTGCTTTTTCATGCCCAAAACATGTTGTCCCGTGTTCTCCTTCTCTTGAATTGAGGTTTCCCATTTGCTCTTTCCCAGCACTGAATACAGTGATACAGATCCTTCCTTCTCCAAGGCAGCATCTCCAGTACGTCCTCAGCCACAGGTTCTGTGTGCCTCTATGGTTTGCCTTGGCTTATGTTTCTCTTCCTTGTTTCCTTGCCTCCTTGTCTTCCCATGCCAGGACCAAAGTCTGTCCATTCCTTTGCTTCTCTTTCTTTTTCTTTTTTTTTTTTTTTCCTTCTTATGTTACCAAACTCTAGGTTGGTATTGGCCTCTGCTGTCCCTGTCATTATCACCTCTCAGTCTTCCCATATGCCACATGTTATGTGTCTCTCATTCCCTTCTTCCTCATCATATTAGTTTTTCCTCTTTAAGTGAGTTTTATGAAGTGGCTGGTGGCACAAACTTAATACACACAGAGTTTTCGAGGGAAGAGGGTAGCTGCTGGGATGCTGAGATACAGGCTTTGCATGGGAAAACAACTAATGATCTTGAAGCAACATGCAGGGAATCTCGTATTTCAGTGGGTTAACTGTGGACAAAGAGCTGTTGTGGATCAAAGAAATGCATAATAATTGATTTTATATTATAGACAATCCCTTTTTCCTTCTGCAGAATAAGTGGAAGAAGAATAATTTCCTGGCTTTTCTGGGAAGGCCAGAGAATCTGTCACTCACTGAACTGGTCATGAATTCAGTAGTAATAGTGCTAGATTGGGAAGCCTGTTGGGTTAGGTGGAAAGGAGGGAGCAGAGCAGTATGCCACCTGGGGCCTCATTGGGAAGCAGAAGAGCCTAAGGACTGGAAAAAATAGACAGTGAAGTAACAATTTGTCAACAGGAAGTTGGGAGGAGGTAGGGATTTTTGCTAGCAGGAAGTATGATGTTACTTGTGATCCGCAGTGCTCACCTCTGAGTGGGGGAGTATATGGGTTGTTATCGTTCTGTGAAAGAAAAATGGGTGAGAAAGCAGCCTAAGCTGCTGCAGGGCACCTGCAGAAAGCCGATGTTGCTCCCCTGTTACTTGCTGTACTGAGCTGTCCAAACAGTAGGTGAGGAGAAAGGTCATCACCTTTAATTTTTTACTGTTCCCCCTACTGATCCTAGAGCAGTCATTTGTAAACCGTGTAAAATATGTTACTTGATGTTATACAATCTACAGTCAGATCTGTGGTGGCTGGTTCAAAGTATAGCGTAACTAAACCTGCACAGTAACCTGTCAAAACTTGTATATTTATAACAGTGCAATTTCAGGTTTGAGATTTATGTATGTTGCAGTGGGCTCTAAAATATGAGACTAACTGTTTTGGAATAGTTTGGATAGCTTCCGTCTGTTAGGTAAAGAACTTTCAGAGCTGCAAAATATGTACAGACTCAAAGGTGTACTTGCTTACTGGAAGGTCACTAATTGATAGCATCTGAAGTGATATGCTTGGAATACTTTGCTTTTTAGTGCCTTTCATTCAAAGCAGTTTCAAAGCTCTATAGGGGGTTAGGTACTACAGTCTAGATTGACATTTGACCTGGAGCTATTGAGAAATGTCAGTAGTAGGATGGGAAGCAAATATTTTACAAGGCCAGCAGCTCTCATGTGACGGATTCAGTGAAAAGTCAAAGGAAACACGCTGTAAAATGCTTAAAATTTATTAATCATCATTACTTTTCTTCATAAGGAACAAAAATAAAACAATATTCCAAAACAAAATAGAGGAAAATATACTACACCCAGATAACATGCCTAAGAGATGGGATAACATTAATTCTGACAGAAATGACCCAAAAAATCAATTTTCCAAAAACAAAATAAATAGCAATGGTTCAACTTTTAAAAGGTTCCTAGGAAAGAATTTACATTTATTATTATTATTATTATTATCTTTTGTTTACAAAAATCCTTCATATGCCTCTGTTGGCAAAAATATATATATATACTTCTTCTGTAAACAGTTAAGCACAAACAAACAAAAAAATTTCCATATTTTCATACAGTTACTATGCTGATGGTGTTATGTAAACAGAGTAGTGTGCAGCAGCTTCTCATGATAGAATATCTTTCTTTTTCTCATGAGAATATATAGGGAAATATGCCCATCATAAATTGTTCAAAATATTGAAATTTATAGTTTTGAGAAGGTATGGCTTTCTGCAGTTTAAGTTTTCCTTAATGCAAAAAGGAAAATAAAGAAACAGAGAGGTACAGTTTTCCTTGGGTTTTGTTTGTTTGTTTTCTGGACTTTAGCTTTTGATTTGTCTCAATGAACTGGAATGAAAATGTTATTAAAAAGGTCAGTCTATGTCAATGGAAATATTAGATATTGTCAAGCATCTATATTATGGCACCACAGGCAAGCTTCAAGCCAGAAAATAGTGTTGTTCTCATAATAGACTTTTTTCAAGTGTAAAGAAAGCTCAGCCTAACGGTACAGCACTTCTGAGAAGACAAACAAACAAAGAAAATATCAAAATGACCTTATGCTGTACCTCTCAAGGTATAAAAGAAGAGTCATGAAAAACAATGGAGATATATTGGTAATGAAAACTGAAATAATGTAGACAGGCATATTAAGTTTGTATGCAGAAAATGTAATCTGTTCATCCAAAATTTTAGCTGCTTTTGACACTTTTGTGTGGTTTTGTGTTTTTTTTTTTTTTTTAGTCTTACGTTCAAACCTTGTTTGACTTCTTCCCTCTAGTTCTAATTTTAGACATTCAGTTGTTCCTGAGAGGCTTTTATCTGTTTTGTTGCCTGTTGGGTGCTGACTTGGGGAATGCACTCAGTGCTCACACAGCTGCATTTCTCCACATAGGTGTATGAGTGATCAAGGTAGGTTCCATCACTGCATGTCAGTGTCACCTTTCTTTGGCTGGTCTTGATTTCCTGACAACACGAGCATTTATGTTCCATTGTGTTTGCCTCTGGAGAATATCTGATTGCAAAACCAACAAAAATCAAATATTCAGAAATTATGTGAGAAATACCACTGCCCCTCCCACCCATCACTAAATATAACCAGAAGTTTTGTGCTTGCATGTGGGACTATTGCTCAATATTACCGTTCTTAGAGTATTGTGGTGAAATATAAGTTGCTCCTTATTGTAAAAATGGATGGATCTAACTCTTCATTAAGGCACAGAAAAAGTAAATTAATTGATCCAGATCACATGTTAAGCCAGTCCAAAATGAGAGAATAGTGAGAAACACATAACCTCACTTTTACATGGGCAAAATCAAAACTTGAGTCTATTCACTGTGACACTGAACAGGCTGTTAAAACATTGTGAGTCTTGAGGTAATTAAGCTATTACGACCTCACGTCTCTCAAAAATTCTAGTTAGCACAATGGAAACAGCTGATGACTAGGTGGATGTTGGACATATTAGAAAACCACTTGCGATTTGCTTTATGTAACTAGTGTAAAGAGTAGAAGGCAAGAGACCACAATTATCTTTTATACCACTTACCGTGAGTAAGCATCACAGCTGCCTTCACAGTATGTCATCTCAACAGGTGCAGGAGATACACATCCGTGATATTTGATGACAGTAGTAGTATTGTGCTTCATACAACCTGAGGTTGTCACAAGCGAAGGGAAAATAGGTTAAAATATATGTGCATATAAATAGATGTCTGTGTATGACAATTTGTAGTAGAAAACTGAGATGGATGAAGCTGTAATAGGAAATTAGGTCACATTGCATTTCTCTTAATTGCTAAAGGCCAGATGATGACTCTTGTGGCTTGTGTTATCAATGAATGAAAAATTCCCTTTTGCTTATGCAGCTTTGGTGCGGGATGCAGAAATAAAGAGCAGTACTGTGGTAATTGCTCAATGCACACCCACCTCCCAAGGCTGCCTTCACTTTCTTCCTTAAAGGGAGTGTATCTATGGAAGTTGGAGAATAGTTATAGTCCTCTCCCTCCCACAAGAAGGCTAGCATTTAACAGTAGGGAATGGGAAAGTTCACTATATCCATGTTTTCCAAGGCCCTAAAGCGCATGCTGGAAATCTTCTGTTCCTTTCTTTTTCCACCTGTTTCCATTCACACCCCAGTGTGAGGCAGTGGTCCCAACCTTGGTCTGTTCACCTCTTCTGTCTATGCATCCACCATGCAAGATGGACTAATATACCTAATAAAGCACATACTATCATTACTTACTCTCCAGTTTTCTGTGGCACACTCTACAGCAGCCATCGTCAGATAGCTTGATGTCATCCTTGAGTGGGAAAACAGAAAAAGATAACTCAGGTTTCATATCTGCATACTAAAGCAGAGACTTTCCCTGCTTCCTAAGTTTCTCTGGCACCAGGAAGTTCTTTGTATTGACGTGGAATCTAATTTCAAGCAAGGCTAAATATTAAGAGCACATAACTACTTCAATATTAATAAGAGTTCTTTGAAAGCTGACATTGAGGGGGACGGGAACTGCTTTGCTGTCATCAGAGTTCAGTAGTAAAACTTCAGAAATAAATCTTGTAGCACCTGTGGGATATTTTCAGTGACAAAAGTCAGTACAGGTGAAGGATTATGTCAGACAGGGTAACACAATTAATGAAGCACCTGACTCCCCAGATGTGTGGGGTTGGTTCTAATCTACCCTGAGCTGTATTAAGTTGAATGATGTTGTGAACTGAAGTAGCTTGTTTTCCTTCACCTTTGCTCTTAATAAGTGAATTCTAAAAAAATTTATAATCTTAAATAATTTAGGAATAAAAATCCCATTATTTTTCAATAAGATTCATTTTGATTTGCTTTTCTGAAATGATATTTGATGGGGACCAGATTCAGAAAGGATAAAATGAGAGCTACATCCTGTGTGATGCTTCTGCTATGTATTTTCCTTGGACACCATGATCCTTCTATCACTGGTGTTAGCCACTGCAACATTTTCAAACATGAGAACTGGTAGAAGAGTACTTACTGGATCACAGTCATCAGGGTTAAAGGGAGGACATCTTTTCTGTAAGACAACTGGAATGAACTGGTCATCATATTTTTCACATGTATAAGTTGTACAGTTATCACCAGGTGGGTTCCAGAATTCTCCAACCTGAAAGTTAAAATTAAAGTGAATAAAAATCTTACATAAAAATGAAACACATACACACACACCCCCCAATGTCTTATCATTGCTGCCTCCTGCAGTTTGATTAGTCTGAACAATTTCCTTGAATTTCAGCTGAAAGTCGCTTGTCATGTTATCATACTACTGTAAGTCTTCTTCATTAACCAAGTGAAGAGGCTGTATTTTTATCTGGATACGGACATGCTTTTTATAAGCATGTGGACTCATTTGGCAAGATTAATTTGTGTTTCAATGGTTTTGTCATCAGAATTTATGGGTATGTCCATTCAGATACATGTCAGAATTTCTGCTGGTTTCACTGACTCATCCTGTCCTAAAGCTCTGTATCTTTAGGACATCCTGTCAGCTAACTTGAGACTGGCTGGAGCAAAAAACTGCCTCCACAGATAAAATTATCCTTTGAGCAAAATGCGTGCTCTATTTTCAGAGCTGAAGGCAAATAAGGGCCCATTGGTTTCACCTATGTATTCTTCTATGTTGATTTCTGAAAGCCATTGTTCACTATCACAGTTGCTTCCAGAAGTCTTAGAACTGGAGCTTCATGGCTCAAGGTACTGTTCAAACTGTGTGAGGCAGTCCATTCCCTGCCTGAAGAAGCATTTGTCTAACATGAGAAAAGATGCAGCAAATAAATGCGACAAAGACAAGGAGAGGAAAGAGT